AAATTCCCCTCGGTTGTAGGGGTCCGGGGAAACTTGTACCGAAGTGCACTCCTCGGGGACACCGACGGAAGAGGATGAGGCGCCGGGGGTACCTACGCAGATAGCCGTTGTTTTTGTTCCTCCTATTTGGATTTCCTCGGTCGCGTACTTACTTTTTCCCTCCAGCCCTTCGTTCATCAGTTTTCCCCCGCGTTCCCATTTCCTGCGGCTACCCCCACTGGGAGGTTCTGCTCCCGCTGCGAAGCCACGAAGCAAGTAGTCGGTGGCACGGTTCAGTGTCGGGCCGACCGGCAGCGTGTGTAGGTGGTGAGAGAGAGGACCGGACCGGCGTTTTAACCCTCGCGGTTTATTTCGAACACACGGTTACGCACGGGACGAAACCGGATAACCTGGGGGGGCCGGCGGCGGGCCGCATCGAACGTAATTCCGGCTGTTCCCGGGCCGGTGAACCGATACCGCGGGACAAAGTGCACCCGGAGGTGAGTGAACGAAACGCAAGATCCGCGAAGCACGTGCTCCTTCGGACGAGGACTGCCGTGGCGCTGTTCACGAGACGAGCCCCGAGACACGGACGAGAGGCATCTTTCGATACGCGTTCCGTTTATCGCTAGGTTCATGGAACGCCTCGTTTTCACGCATCAATTTCATAAGCATTACCTGGTCAACGTCGGTTTCGATTGATGTACTTGGATGAATGTGTTCCGATGGTCTATTTTTAAATCTCTGAGTTCTGGGATCTAAATGAATATCAGTTTTTCTAGGAACAATAGGCGCAGTAAATATCTTATTTGAAAAATGAGGACAAAATATTGTCTTATAGTTGATTTATTTGGTTAAAGTATTTAGGTGCGTATGATTTATAGGTATATTGTGATAAGAATTTCTTTTAGGTTTATTATGAACGTCTGTAAACCTAGTTAATGTTTTTATTGGTATTAGTGGGGAAATTAGTATTGAAAATGAGATGAGAGAAGATGAATGAGGCATAATTAGAATCGTGTTGCTTTCAGGACCTTTCTCGTGAACACGCAGCGTCCAATTGCATTTTTAGGCTGTTTTTGCGCGACGGTAAATGACGCGTAGGATGGATACTGAATGTACTTCTAGGTCACTTGATCACTGAGGAATTCGGGTGATTGATCAGTTTTCAGTTTTGCTGCGGTAATTTTCTGGCGCCTTCTATCGCTTATTATTCATCGATACAGTTACACATAAGTAATCGAAACTATAGAACTGTGAGTTAGAGACACCTCTTGTCATCGAGTTATCTTCTAAACAGTACAGTAACACTTTGTTTAATCTTTTGCATCGACCAATGCTCACTCTCAATGGCCACTTGATTTAATACATAGAAAATTATGAAATTTAATATTTAAAATTAAGCTTTGTACAAAGTATCGATATGTGAAATTTTTCGTTGAGTTGCTTTCGAAATATATTTTCTGTGTTTCGTTAGAAAATATTGGATATTTCTAGTGAAATACTTTCGGAGTGCAAAGGGTCAATATGTTCGTGACCTGTGTTTGTTTAATAGCAATCTCCGTAATGTTTATATTTTATGAAATGGAGCGAATCGTCTGTATAAAATGCGAATGGAATTCAAGATAAAAACCTCGTCAAATTCGTACTAGTTAAACGCATTAAAATTTTCAATAAAACCACAAGTAAAAATTATTTTATTTTTATTACACAAAATGTTAATTATTGAACGTTACAAATACGTGACGCTGGTTGTGAAGGTGTTTTAACTCTCGGGAGAGGTTCCTAGAAGACAAAGCTTCACTCGAAACAGTGTTGAACGAGGTCAAAAGATAGCACACAGGAAAATAGGAACATGCGACTAAGAATAATGTTTCACTTCAACTTTATGTTGATTTTGTATTAAATTAGTAACTAGTTTCCGACGACGATTGTTTAGGATTCAAGGAAAAACCACATTATATCGAATTAACGTTAATGGAGGTAACGTTAAATGTGGTTTCACTGTATTTATAAATTAGTGGTAGCGTTCAGACGATAATACAGTATCGTGATACAATAGCATCTCAATTATCCTATTTAATTGGACGACTAACAGTCTAAATAATTGGAGAGTCGAAAAGAAATTCTTCAATGTTCGCAAGATTCAATCGTATATAATTTAAAGTACAACTTGAAAAGTGGAATGATTGAATTTCCGAATAATCAAGATTATAAATAATCTAAATGGCAAATGATAGTGACTCATTTCGAGTAACCCGAGAGTCTCGGTCGCTTGCAACGCTTTTCGTATCCAGACAGCAGACAAAATACTCCATCAAATTATTGACACGAGAGTAACGCGACGCAAGCAAGCGTGTTTGAGGCAAGAAGATATCCTTAGCTAGATGACAAAAGGGAAAAACAAAGAAAAACGGAAAAGATACGTTTCAGTGTGAATTTCATGAGCACATTGTGCACTATACTAAGTAGTATTGTCTACGTGTGACGTCGCGTGAACGCGGTCTTAACATCGTTTATGTGGGTCACGTGAAATTACGTTTTCTATGTAACGTTGGTTACATGCGTGACCTGTGAAAATACGTTCTTAATCCATGGCTTTATAATATTCACTAGAACTCGCGATAATGCTTTGAAACTAATTTAAAAAATATTCAGAAGTGTAATTTATTATATCCGAATAAATACAATTGTATTCTTTCGAGTAGAAATAAAATATTGTCTGTCTTTCCTAAACGTTTAATCTTCATAGTAAACATGGACTTACAATGAACGCAGAAATCTTCTTTGCCTGGTGATTATTAAAGACGATACAGCTTTAAAGAGAATAAATGCAAATGAAATCATATGATAAGAGGTTAATATGCTGTTGGTTGATCGCAAGACACGTACAATTCGAAGCAGCGTGTAAAACATATTTTATTGATATATGTATATGTAAGGAACAATTAACAGTGAAAATTGAAAAACATGAAAAAACATTAAATGAAAAGTATATTACATTAGAAATTGTCAAACATCGAATTCAAAGAGTTAGGTGCATCGAAGAAGATATTCAGCACGCCAAGTGTTAAACTAGACTACTAGACCATTTGAGAGTAAAACTACCACGAGTTGCTCTCGACAGCGTTCATCGCAAGTGGATACAATAATCGCTTTTAACCTAATATTCATTCGTAAGAAATGATAAGTGCAACGTAAGAGCAACTAGTAACAGTTTTGCTTAGCTTTCACCTAAAAATGGCCATTCGGAAATATGAATTATTGTAATTTAGTATTCAGATCATTTATTACAAACGAATACCGTGTTAAAATTTACTGTTCCACATCGTCAAAATCATCTTCATTTACAAATCATAATAATATCTTTCTCTAACCCTTTCTCGAACTTACTAACATCTTTCCTCTCAAATAGCTTTAGCCCAATACAAACAATTTATCGTCAAACTCCCTATCACATCATATCCCTCCAATTTCAAGTCCACGCTCCATCAACGAATGCGAAAAAAAGTATATTGCTAACAACAAAAAGTAACGATAAGAAATGCTTCATCTGCATCGGCTTTTATAAAGCTCGCGTCCATCATCTTTCGTTTTTCCCGCATCGAGTTCTCCTTCTTCTCTTCTCTCGTTCTTTTGATTCGCTTATTGTTTCAGTTATTTATTCCCCATGCGATCACGGCCCCCGCCCCCTCCCGCGCTTCGCGATCTCCAGTTTTTACGTCGTCAACGTCACCCGTCGGGCAGCTTCGACTTTATTTTTGATGTCGCCGATCCCGGCTATTCCGTCGACGATTTCA